CCCCCCCTTTTTTTTATTTTAGGCTAATCCATCACAAAATGAAGGAATTTCAAGGGAGAAAACTGAGGTGCTCAGTTCTGCGATCACTTCTTCAGTAGTCTGTGATAAAAAGCTGTCTTTGTATGTTATTATTAAGTCCATCAGAATTAAATGGTTTAAATTTATTTGACTAATTGCACTCATTTAAGTTTTTAATAATTAAATGCACTGAGGCTGTGTAACTTGTTAACAGTCGTGTCCTTTTCTTTGCTTTGAGCAGTTTTACTCTGGGCACCGATCTCCTCACATTCCATATAGGTTATTGCACCTGGTATGGACTCATGCACGGCATTTAGCAGGGTACGAGCAACAAGATGCACACGAGTTCCTCATTGCTGCATTAGATGTGCTACACAGACACTGCAAAGGTAAGGCTTGTAGTGAGTCTTCAGTCAACAAGGAATATTGGATCAAAAGGAGGTAGAACAATCTCTTCTCAAATCAAGTGTAGTGTCTTCCAGTACAGCAGTCTTAGCAAATTACTTTTAAAATGTTTGGTAGACTTAGAGGAAAAGATTTATAAATAAATAAATAAACCGTTCCCACTCTCAAAAATTACCTAGAGTTAGAAGCAGACAAGCCTGTACATTGATTTGAATCACCATTATGTTCTTCTCTTATTGATTGTGAATCACTCTCTTTTCTTTTAAATTGCCATTTTAATTCTATTTATACTTGAGGTAGTTAGAACTCTTACTCAGTCTGTCATGGGACTGATGAAAATAACATAGGGGAGGCTATGGCTGTTCTGCTTAAATATTATTCTACTGTATTTATGATTCCCAATTGTGTACAGAAATGTCACTAAGAAAAAAATTAGTGTTTGGTTTTGGTATATTTTATTAGTCAGTATATAAAAATACATAATTGTACAATACAGTAAAAATATTCAGTGATGTGCTTTAATAGATGAAGTATCTGAGTCTTGAATTGATGTGGTAATATCGTATGAAATTATGTATTTCATGTTAGTTAACTGAACTAAATCTGAACTGAAAATTTCCCAATCTGCCAATGTTTGATCTAGCTTGATTCACTTAAGCATAGAAATTTCCCTTTTCTTGTAAGGGAAAAATAGTAGGGTTGATACTAGCAAAACAAACATCCTTAGTCACTAAAAACAAGCTTTAAAGCAGTCAACTTTCCTCTACTGCTCTTTGAAAAGGTGCTTAGAGGTTAGGTTTTTGGCTTATCAGAGGACTATCAAAGGGAAGACTGCTACTGCTTCTTTGAAATGTTTTGAAGTCTTGCTTTTTTCTTTGAGGTAGTCTTACACGGTAGCAGATGTGCTTGTTCAGATTCATAATAGGTGTCCTCCAAAAGAGTCTTCTCCAAAAAGAGTACTTCTAAGGATGGGAGTACATAGAACAGTTCTTCTGTAATTATTCGTATCTGTTATCTGACAATCACTAACTGAAACTCAATAAGCCTAATGAAACTAGTATTGAAGTACTGTAAGGAATAGAGTCTCTCACTTCTTAACACTCAATAAACTCAGCTGCGAACTGAAATACTTCATGGTTCCTGTAAAGTTTCTGAACCACTAATCTAACAAATCTTGAAGCTTTTTCATCATCTTTGATATAAAATGATGTTTGAGTTACTTCTATACTTCCCGATTAGTTCATGAAGGAGGAATATTTTCTTCTCAGAATTGTAAAGAAAAAACTTGCAACAATAAAGGTCCGTGCACTCTTTTCAGACTGATAAAGAATCTGAAAAGACTTTTTTTTTAAAGTGTGGTTTGGCTTTTAATGAAGAATCTGTCTGAAGAATATTCTGCAATTACCAACAAAATCAAGTTTTCTCGACAGTTTCTTTATTCTTGGTTCTATTTGGCCTCTCTGGCCCAAATGAAAATGAAACTGTGATCTGTCCTAAAACTTTGAAAAAATTATGTATTAGACATTCTTTGGAAAGAGCGTGTGCATGTGTGTGGATTCTTTTATTACTGGTTGGATATCACAGATGTGTTGAAAACTGACTTCTGAATTGGTATCAAGTTTCATAATGGTTTCAGCCAGCTTGAATTGAACTAGGGGTTTTTGCACCTTTAGTACTGAGCTTTTTTGGGTTGTGGCAGAGTTACCATTTACATTCAATACAAGGACTGAAATTCAGTTATTTAATGGATATCCTTAAGTTTGAGCTACTTGCATAGACATAATTAAGCTGTTACAGCACTACTAGTGGGAAGGCATTAGCGCTAGATCCTTGACATCTGTGCACCCAGGCTTTTGAATTTCTGTTTCTGAAGAAATGGACTTTTATTAAACTACGGTAAATAATCTATACCACATCAAGGTAATTTAAAAGAAGTGGTTGAGCAGTTGTGTGGGAACCAAACCAGTTCATCTAAACCAGAATTTCAAGTATGGTCATGATAAACCACTTTTGGAATGAACTAGTTTGCTATGTAATGAGAAAGTTTTCCCATTTACATGCTTATGTCTGCACACAGACACACACACACACACACGTGAAGTATACATATGTAAAAATATTACTACTAATAATGAGAATATGTCCTAAAGCTACAATAAACAAATAATGCCTCCCCTGCCAATATTAAATACTCCTTTTACTGAATCAAAAAAGCTTCCAAAGCTTCCAGTCAATAGTAATCAAGTTCTACAATTAACACACAGTGAAGTAAAATAAAGTATGGGGAAAATTTTGACGTTATTCATAATCGCCAAAGCTTCAGGCACCAAAGTAAATGAAAGTGTTCCTTATGCTAAGAACTGTATAAATATCCAGTGATACTTGTTTGGCTGACATTGGTCATTTATCCCTTTTCCATTCTATTTACTCTGCTTTCTAGGAAGTGTCCTAATGCAAGTCAGAGAAGGCTGTGAATGCTCATTATTGATATCTGTCATTGCCTAAATTAGGAAAAATACATGATTTTGATGTGCATTTAAAGATAAGTTTTGTAATACTGCATCCTACGAAGCATAAAATTAACTGCCCCGAGATTCATATATGGGCTGGCCCAGGTGGTGGTTGGTTTGGGGATTTTTTTTTTTCTTTTTTTAATGCTGGTTGAATATATACTTTGTTTTAGTGGCATCTGTGAAGTTTCGGAACCCCCAGATAACTGTATGATCAGCCGTGTAAATTATGTTTCAGGAGTGATAGCTCTCCATGTGCCAGCACTGTTGTGTTGAGCTGTGGCATGTGTGCAGGGCATATTTTGAACACTTAGCAGGGCTCCTCTATGGTGCTAGAGTAATGTAAAATGTTTCTAACTAAAAGGAATCTAGTCTGTCATGCCTATGCATCGTTATTTTTCATTCCAACAGCTGGAGAAAGATGGACTAACTGGAAAGTAGTATTTTGGTGAGGGGGGGGAAAAAAAATGCTAAGCTATTAATTACTCCTCTTTCTCTACCATTCACCCAAAGTGTGCACAAGGTCTGTCCTTAAATGCATACTCCAACTAAAAACCCAAGAGCTTTCTTGAATCTGAATTCTTTTTCCAACATTGCTATTATAAATGACATTTAAAGTAGGTGCACTTCGTGCTGTTCAGGTCTCTCTTGCTGGTTTGATAGTGCTCAGAGTTCTGCAGTGTCATTGTACGTTGGCATTGTACGTTGGTCCTTCTCACCACAAAAGCTTCCAAATGAGATTCAGAGCTTACTCTACATCAGATATTAGCTTCTTCACCGGAGTAATGCTATAAACAGCCTTGATGTGTAGGTAATGGCCACCTTCTTTGTACTAAAGTCTAACCTGGACGTCGGCATGTATTGACTTTGATCTTTAAAATGCATAACAACTTTGATTTTCAGTCTCTGAATATGTTTGGATTATAGAAGATGCTGAAAATGATCAGATCTGTTGATCCGTTGCTTCTTGCATGTTTCTTAGACTCTTCTATGAAGAACAAGTACAAAATATACCCCACTCTTCATGTGGGATTCTTCAGGAGTTCCAGGGCTCTTCATTTGTTAGAGGAATATAAATAATGGGTATTTCTGCCTAGTGTGTAAAGCATTAGGTCAGCTTTTAGTCAACATGACAGATACATCTTAGTTGTCAGTGCTCTGGAAGAAATTCAGGGCTCTAATTCTGCAAACTCCCATGACAGTGAGGTTCCAATCATCCAAACACTTTGTAGTTTACTAAGTTTGTCTCAGACATATTCAAACTTGGAGAAACTTAGACCAGAGTTGTTATTTTCGTGTATGGAGCAAGACTGCAATTCAAAAGTTAATATTCAGCCCAGTGAAATCACTAGCTGTGGGTTGGTTTGGTTTTATTTTTTTTATTTATTGCAAGAGCAACAACAATCAAGCAGCAGAGAGTGGCAAACATGAGCATTTGTACACAAAGATTCAAAAAGCAAGATAAAAAAAATAGAAGTAATCCTATATTTTTATCCCAAACTTTATTCAGCCAATGTTATTCAGTTGTCTAACAAAAAGACAGTAGTACTTTAAAGCTGATTATTCCTCATTTATCTGGTTTTCATGAAGTATTTTGCATTCATCTTTAACAAGGACTGCTACAGAGCAAATTTGAAGCCTGGTGCTAAGTACCATGACAGAAAAAGAATGCTGTGCTGAGATTTGGGAGTAAAACACTACCCTGCTCTGTGAATTCTGCATGATATTCTTAGGAACTGATAAAGCATATGCTTGCAAAACATGTCTTCTGCTGTAATCCATATAAATTTATGTGTATACTGCTTTGACATAAATAATAACAAGCACATGTTCAGAACACTGGGGGCCAAAGTAAAGCAGAAAAGTCAACATTAATGTCTTGTTTTGATAAATGCCCCTTTTAAATTCTGGCAATTTTTAAATTCCTTTTTCTCATTTAAAATACATAGTGGAAGTTGGAGGCAAAATGTCTTTTTTTATTTCAAAAACAAAAGCAATGTTAAAAAGTAATCTGTAGCTGCTCTTGCAGTTGTTATCTATGATTTACCTTTAGTGGTATATTAAATGTGTATATATTTGAACACAAGTTAATATGCTTAGTTATTGCACAGATGCAGTAGTAACTTCTGTGGTTTTTTTTAGAGAGTTGCATTTAATTTGAATCCAAACTTTTAAACTCAATTTTCTGCCATTCTCATAATTACATCAGTGTATATATACATTGATGTATTTTCAAGTTTTCGTTTTAGTCTTGTGCTGACCAATCTCTTAAAAGAAGCTGCCGATTTCTGTAGTAGGAATTATGACGAGCTTTAAAAACAAAAATGCATGAAAGTAAAACCTACTTTGTAAGACAGAAATGTTGAAGGGAACCTTAACTTGAGCCCAACAATCTAGCAGCTTCTAGTTCTCAGCTGCATAATATACCTCCTCTCAGCATCTGTTACATATTGACAAGTGTGAGTAGGTGGTAATCTTACTTTTTTTTTCCCCCCCTCCTCTCCAACCAAATGTCATGGGAAATAATGTTGAGTGGGTAATGCCCTTCTGTTTTGCTGGGAACAAGCTCACAGGATATTCTTTTGAGACCCTCTCATCACTGATCCTAATTGACTTGTATAATTGAAAAGGGAGTATTCGTTCTCTCCCGTAGGCGGAAATGCCTGCCTATTATGGGTGTCCAACAAGGATGTTACCTGTGGTCCAGCAAAAATCTCTAGACGCTGTTTCTCTGCTTCTGCCCCCTCGAAACAAAACAGAGGGAGATAATGTTTCAAATGGTGAGATTACAGGGATGTGGCAGTTGCAAGTTGTTTCTTTAAAAAGAAAAAGTGGACTTTTAAAAACAAGGATAAAACCCATTAAATTCTCTTTTGAAAAATCCACATGTAGTCTTTAAAGCTTATAAGTGATCTTTTTCTAAAGGTGAAGAATGTCTTGTACAGTCTCTCCACTGTATGCTCTGTTAATTAGCTTAGCATAATTGAGACCTTAAAAAGATCTCAAGTTCAGTAAGATTTAGCTGAAATTCCCATCAAGAAATGCCGGAGACGGGGTCTGATAACGCCCATCTTGAACCTTGTACATTTGAAATCTAATTTTAGAGCATTTTGTTCAAGAGCCATTTTAAGGAAACAATATGCTTGACAGTTCAAACAAAAGTTTCTGAAGAGGCAGCTGAGTGAGAGCTTTTCTGAGGCATTTAGGATCTAATTAACTGAAGTGACCCATTGCAGCTTAGTAGGTATCACCTATGTCTGCTTTTCCACACTTAGTATTAGGTGGAACCTCTGTCAGTTTACATAATATTTTCTAATAAACTTCTAAAGCTTCATGGGGAAAAAAAATCTCATTCCTTTCTGCTGCAAGAAGACTCCAGCTAGAGCACCTTAGACACAAGAAAAGTGCTGGGGTTTTGCCCTATGCTTTTAGTTTCTTTGGATGTTCTTTTGACATGCTTGATTAGAAATTAATTATTTTTGAGTAATAGCTCTGATTTGAGCAGTCAGCATCTTAGTATTTAATTTCTGAAACTGAAATATTTCCTAGTAAGTTAAAGATACTAGGAAATCTGGCAAAATTTGATTCTGTCTTAGCAGTTTCTGTTGTAGGAGATCGGAATACATTTTAGGATGTACTTTACAAAATAATTAGCTGGTGGTGTGAAATAGTTTGTATGTGCATCTCTGTTTACAAAGCAAAACCGATTGCATCTGTCCTACCCAAGGAAATAAGCAGTACAGTCTTGGAAATCAAAGAAAAAGTGTATCACTCCTAGTTCACTTGTGGGGAATGGAAGGAGTATGCTTTAAAGCTGAGAACTGTGCCAAGAAATTTTTGGTTGTTTAATGCTCTGGTTAGTCTAAGAAAGCTGAATTGGCCTAATCTCAGCACTCAAATCTCCTGTGCTCCCGAGACCTGCAGTGACAGTTTATAATGCCTAAAAGATGGGTATGTGTTCATTGTGCCCCTTGGGAACTTAGAGGATTGCCCTGTCTCTGAAGAAGCTGGAGGAAGACACAGCAGTTATCTTCCCACTTCAGATAAGGACATCTTTCATTTTCTCACTGGTGAAAACTTGGACGGAAGGTACATGTTTATGTTGAAAGAACAGGATGCAGACAGCAGGCTGGAGGTTAGTGGATCGTAACAAACCTCCTTCCCTCACTCCACTCTCAGAAGTTGACTGGGATAGAATTAAAAACTAACTGTCTGCTGACGTTTCTCCTCTGTGTTCATTTAGGAAAGTAATGTGCTATCGAATACTCTGCCTAAGCAGAAATTAGTGCTGCTGTGGTAAAGAGCTGGCCGTTTGTTTAGATACAGATGTTGCTCAGTGGCCTTCTAAGTGAAGTTTAAATGGTCTTTTTCATGAACCACCTTGGCAACTCCTTCATCTTAGGAACTGATCTTTACACTAGATAGTGCAAAGAAAATCTCTGTAAAGGGAGATAGGGCTATACCCTGAAAAAGGGGTTGGCTGACAGCTGATCTGGCTTAAAGCTTCAACTCTACAGGAGTTAACTGCGTTTGGTCACCCTCTGATTATATTCTATATTTTGCTGGGAGTTCTCTTTTTGTTTCCTTGTTTTTCTTCAATGCACACCACTTTCAGGGTTCCATATTGTCTATGTGAACTTGCAGTATGTTTATGAATTTGCGTTATAAAGAGTTACTGGAGACACAGTCCAAGATAAACCACTGTTCCCTAGGAGGATTTTTGATGTCTGAGTTTGTGTTTGCATTCCTCCAGGTGATGATAATGGGAAGAAGGCCAACAACCCCAACCACTGTAACTGCATCATAGACCAAATCTTCACAGGCGGACTGCAGTCTGATGTTACCTGTCAAGTCTGCCAGTAAGTAATTTTTTTCTGATTCCGCACTCTGATTTGAAGCTGTACACCGTCCAGTGCAACAATGTACTGAATCTTTTCTTTCTTGAATACCAATAAAATACCAGTAAAATTCCAGCAAGGCAAGAACTGTTTAAATACAGCATCAGCTAAATGCAATCAATTACTAGTTAACTGTTGTATATTAAGACATACCAAAAAAGCTACCTCGAAAGTACCACAGGCTTATGGACATAAAATTTTTACTAGTCTGTAAAAGGTTGGTTTTTTCCAAGTTTGTGAGGAGAAGACTTCCAAGATCTCTTTGGTCTTGGAAGTATGTAATTGCCACTACATTTGAAGAAAATTCTGATATGCAACCATATTTTCCTTCAGTTAGGAGCCTCATGTATCATCAGGAGAGGTTTCAAAGAGGCTGATACTAATGTAATCTCAGGTACCAGCAAGTGAATGTTTTACAAGAGTAAGGAAAAACCTATTTGTTGTTCTACTCTGTGTACTGGAGCAATTTGACTTCTCTTTCAACATGTTTGGTGTTGCCATAGTGCAGAAGTCAGAGTTCTTGTTTTTTGTTCTCTCTTGCATTCTTTATAATTACGCATGCTGTCCTGCAAATGGACTGTTGTGCTGTGCTTGTTTGAATCTGCTTTTATTCTCAGTTTCCTGGAGAGATTTGCAGAAGACTTACTGTAAGGAAAACATATGAAATTTTGTTCTTTGCCTCATAGAGACACAGAATTCTTATATGATAATAAAAACCTTGATGTGTTATGACATCATATTAGCATTGATGAAATTTTAACAAAAGCAGTTTTCTTTTGAAAATTGACAACTTTTACACAAATGAAGCTGGAGAAAAGGCAGAATATTGTAGGCTTAATGAGATTGTAGAGTGAAAGACACTAGTTTTAGAGGAGGAGAGAACTCAAAAAATAAGCATAATGACTACAAACAGAAAATGCTTCCAAACTAGGAGCTTAGACCCCTGAAGTTCTGGAGTTCTCTTAAAAATATAAATGCTGGAAGAAAAGATTTGAGTCAATACAAGTTAAAATTTTGAGAAGCTTTTTCCATAGTCTAGCTGTTGGCTTGTCTTCAGCTGTCTTGTAG